CATGCCTGCTAAGAATGAGACATCTTTTTTATCTTTTATTCACTCCACCTACTCTCCACCTGCTCCATCTGTGTTGCTAAGGGATAGCATAAAGCTGTGCAAATGACTGACTTTTGCTTTGATCACAATTCCAAAAAAGTAAAGACTAAATTGAAATGTCACAGATTTGAACTTCTGAAATAAGATTCAAGTAAATTTCTAAATGAGATATCATTTGTCACAAAATAGCTTAAAAAAATGAAGAAAAATTGAGATAACAAAGTTCCCATTTTGGGTAATTGTTTAGCTTTATTTGAGTAGTATCTTACTTAAAAAAAAAAAAAGAAAATTGGAAAAATCAACACACAAACAAATCAGTTGCATTTAGCCAGCATTTGCCCTTGTTTTTGTTAGAAGGCCTCAGTTGTTAGTGTTTGCTGTGGTGTAATTGCTTTGCCGTTATTCCTTAAGCTTTCCTTATTTTCTCACTTCTCAGTGCTATTGCACATTTTTGGTCAAGATTCAGCACAGCTTCTTAGAGTAGCAAGTTGTGGGACAGGCTAGAAGCAGTTGGGTGCAGAATCTATTTCCCACTTTCAGTGCTGATGCATTTGGTTTGGGACATGTACACTCTTGAGAGCTTGGAAGAGAAACCTAATGGTATAACAGCAGCATAGGTGTATGCGTCAAATAGCGGGACTAAAACAAATATTTAGCTTTTATAGCTTACTTCAGAGACTTGGGTTCTTTATGTTTGGGCCCTTAGCTGGAACAGAGTTGAAGCAAATTGTGTTTTTGTGAAACTTAAACTTATGAGGGTTCATGTGCATTGACAAGTGGCTTTGTATGAGAAGCATGATGCTGATGAGTCTAGTTCATTTTTACTTCACAAGAAGGACAACAGAAAGTTTTTGTCTGCTCCTATCTTTTCTTTAGCACCATTGTGATACTCTGCCAACAAGAGAGTTGAGAATCATTAAAAAAGACCTCAGTGAATATATGTGCTTGTATGCTTCAGTTAAGGTAAAGGTGAAAGTGAGGTGAAGTCTCCCTGGACCAGCAGCCCAGTACCATAAGCTTGCAGGCTTAGACAAAAAAGACAAGGTATGGAAGAGAAACTAATGGAGCAGAAGAGAGGAATGAGGAGATAGATCTGTCCTCTGTGGAAAAAAAACCCAATACATTTTTCCTCTGTGGGAAACTTTTTAAATGTAGGGCTCAGTTATCCAAGAAAAGGTCATCCACAAGCCCATGCATTTTGTGTCAGGCTGAGCACAGAATTTCTGCTAGGAAGTGTGGACTGAAACTCACAGGTTTTGTCAGTCATAATTTGAGATAATGGGGATTACATCTGCATTGAGCTAATTCAGACCTGTGATTTTGTCCTAAGAATGCAACCTACTAAGAGCTGACCCATGATATAATGAGGTTTATGAGCTCTAGATCCAGTGACTAATTGACCTGTTTGTGAAAATCACTCAGAGAACTGAAGATGAAGGGAGATGAGTATGCATGTGGAAAACATCCTTCATAGTCATGAACGTTCATCTGTTCTGTCAAATGTTCTTTGTTGCTGGAACATACAGGGACTCATAACCTACCCTGTTACCAGGTGGTCTGCAGGTTGCCCATGAGACAGTTGAATAGAGAGCATCTGCTCATAAAACTGTCCACAGCACTGCTGAGCTAGTGTCGCTGTTCAGCA